TAGCGATATACAGTACGAGCGAGACTGTTCACATAGAGCATGTACAGGCAGTTTTAAGACGCATCGAAGATTTCGGTCGACGCATCAACTAGAAGAAATCTCAGATTGCTAAGAAGAATGTTACGCTTTTGGGTCATAAGGTGGGAAATAGCGAGATAACACCGCTGCCGGAAAAATCTTAACAATCAATTCCATTGAGCCCCTGAATTCGAAAGGGAAATTAAGTCAGTTTTTGGAGAGAGCAGCGTTCTATAGTCGATTTGTGAAAAGCTTCAACAAATTAGCGACTCTGTCCTACCAGCTATTAGGCGAGCCAAAGTCCGTCTGGCCGGAAGACTCGCAGAGGGTATTTGACCGCATCGAACAGCTGATGGATCACCAGAGAATGACGCTGTGACTACCGGTGCCGAGATAGCCGTCCATAGTGTTTACCGATGCTAGCGATTACGGAATAGGTGCAGTACTCAGACAGGGCGACGGAGTCATCGAGTACGCCAGCCATGTTTTAGCGCACACGGAACAGAAGTATTCAACAATTAAGAAGGAGTGTTTGGCGATTATGTGGGCGCTAGACAAATGGAGACCCTATTTACTGGGTCGACGCTTCCACACAGAGACTGATCATAAGCCGTTGCAGTGGCTGAGAGCCATCAGAGACCCACGTGGGAAGTTGTCACGTTGGATGCTGCGCCTGCAAGAGTTTTATTTCACAATCTCTCATGTTCCACGAGAAGAGAATGTGTTATCGGATATTTTATCTAGAATAGAAGAGGTAGAGTTACCGGAAATAGCACATGGTATAATACCTTACAGCAGGACCCAGAAAGACTTGTCCATATTCAGAGATCAGACGATGCCTTGAAAACTGTCATACAAGTGATAACTAACGGTAGAGAAGATGATACAGGAATGTCACTAACTAGCTCACACAGGCGTCGCCCGAACGAACGATCTCCTGCGACAAACCATGTACTGGCCAGGTGTGGTAGAAGACGTCGAGAAGTACGTAACGGCGTGTACGCAATGTCAGCTGATGAAAGGTGATCAATATGTACGACCGTCACCGCAGTCGATTCAAGTGATAGCAGTAGGCGACCTGTGGTCCGTAGATGTAATGGGACCTTTTCCACAAATGTCCAATGGCAATCAATATCTTGGGGTAATGACAGAACATGCCACATGATGGCTAGATGCAGTCGCGATCACTGATCAACGAGCAAAAACGGTAATAGAAGCAGTGGTTCGACATATCGTTGCAAACCACGGTGTGCCGAAAGAGATATTGACAGACCAAGGTCCGTGTTTTGAAAGCGAAGAGTTTAAAGTTCGACTGCAAGAGTTAGGTATCAAGAAAATTAGAACAACTCCATATCATCCACAAACGAATGGACTGACGGAGAGAAATAACTGCACCCTGAAAGAGTGGCTGGCCACAAAGGACAGTAACTGGGAGATAGGGCTTCCTCTGATTCTGCTAACATATCGTGTGTCCGCGCAAGAAACGACGAAGAAGGCACTGTTTCAGTTGATGTATGGAAGGAAACCACGACTACGAAGTATGGTAACTGGTATCATATACAATTGTAAAACATCTTGTCTTAATTCTGCTACCCTGGTAACATTTTCAGGGAAGTAGTGATAATTCATGGTAGTGACACCTTAAGATTCGCTCAGTAAAATGGTAAAGAAGGCGTAGGAGACTAAGTAGTCTAAAATTGATAATAAGAATAGGATAAGAGGATGAACTACACGACCTGCATCTACGATATCATGCGATAAGTTCATCTCGACACCGGCATTTCATCGAGTACTATGTCGATCATGAATTTTCTCGCCAATGAAATTCCGAAATGATCTCAACTTCACCTAGAAACTTATTAGACTTGATATGTAGTCAAATGATGTCTAGTTTGTTTTGACAGTCTGATATCTTTGCTATATGTATATTGATCGTCATTCCATTATAACTCACAATATGTTTTGTATGTCCACTAACTAAATAAACAATGTATGACCTTTTGTCACATGACATTACAACCAATCAGAATCCAATGGTGGTTAGAAAAACCACTGTCTATCTTATTGGTTCATGTATGTTAGTCATTTCCATATATACTCTTGCATTGTACAGTTAATACACTCTTTCAAACCTTTCGTACTCTTTAGTATTTCCCCACTCACACTCTTGTGACAGTTAATTTTCCTTGTTGGGAAATACACGTATCGTCGTGGACGCAGTGGTCTTCTGATTTGCCTCTTCGCGTCAGGATAAAGTACTCAGCAGTACCAGTCTGTACGTTATCGTCCGTTATATCTCATTAGCCCATATTCCCACTCGGTCACACCATAATATCGGCAACGACCCCATAACATATTGGCGACGAGTGCATAACAATAATACAACAAGAGATCTATGGCTCCAATCCAAGAGGTAAAGACTGTTATTCGTTTCTTGTTACCATTATTAACACACTATAATGCTAGTTGCAAAGAGACACCATAGCAAGATTGATCTACAGTTGGTATTATTAGCATATAATGAACCACAGTACAAGGATCGAAAAGCAAGTTATCATCCCAGCTGATTTATAGTAGGTAACCACTACAACTGTTCATGCACCCTAAAACTTGACCTTCAAGTAACAGGTACCAAAAGACAGTCACAAGGAAAAATGTAAACAAGCTGTCCAGAATGTAGACACTGAAAAACAAAAGAAAAATGAATGGAAACCGTTCTAGGAATAGACAGATGAGAGGAATCTCAGGGAATGGACCTGGATATGAAACGTGGTAAGGGTGATACGTGGTCACATTACATTACGAAGCGATGCTGTGTATTCTAGCAAAAAGTAGATACAGAGAAAAAGATAAATATCAGTCAGCTGCTACAGTGGGCACGAGAATATCCAGAAGAGAAGTTCGCGAAAGAGTCATCTTAAAACGATTGATGTGGCTATACGAACGACTTTATGATGGGAGGAGAGTTTGGGGTAGACAGAGTTATGCCTTCAAAAGGACATTAACAATATGTGCGTCATTGGGAAACCCAATGAAGAAGACCTACGGATAATGAGAAATAAACATCTGTAATATATGGTGGATGACATAATTTTTAAATATTGGAATCACTCTGTTAATGACGGATATAACTGATCACAATAACCAACAGATCTGCACCCACTAGTTTTATTTTTACTACTATCACTTCGAAATCGTCCGCATAATACTTTCAGAGCAATAAGTACGTATTTATGAACTTCTGGCTAGCATGCTAAATACTGGTTTGACGATATTTCACTAAACATATTTTGAACAACAAATAGCTACCATCACAACTTACCAAACAGAAGCGCTTTCACTATTTTTAACAAAAATGTAATTCAAATTTAGGGTTATTAGGGATTTTGAGTAATTTCAGGACATCCAATCTGAAGCCAATACATTGCAGTTATAAGAAGTCGTGGTCGTTCATCATGTTAGGTGTGAAGCCAATGCTGATCGATGGCATCGGAGCAATATTGAGAGTTGGCAGAGATTAGGATTCTGATTAACCGTCTGAATTTTAGAGTAAAACTATGAACAGCAGTGAGACTCTTCTAGTTGCCGTACTCTATATACCACATAAAGGTAGAGATAAAGGAAAGTTTCAAAAGAAATATGATCTACTGGAGAAAGAATAACTTAGTGAAGAGACATGAGGACCTGATGGATGTGGGATAATGCAAATACCGAATTCATCTTCGCCATTGAGAACAGTTTTGTCTCACCAACAGTGTGCAGTTATTAGTTCTTAGCGTGTCTAAGACTTAAGCAAGACAGTTTACACCTCCCTGTTTAGCTCAAAACAACAGTAAAGGAACCCATTGATTTGTGCCAGGTTTTGATCCAACCACCCCTAACTCTTTCTCAGCCTAATCTCATGCCAGCTAGCATAGCTCAATGTCCCAGACATCTCGATCAATGGATTTATAATTCACGAGTGGCTGGATCTCAGCCCAATAGCTTAATGGTCAACAGGGCTATCACTTAACCTGAAGGTAATGGATTTGATATCTGACAGGATCGTGGTTGTGGATTGTCGAAGAGTCTCTAAATAGGACGGGACAGATACTCGGTGCTTTTATGGTCTTCAATGATTTCTTAAGAGATATCGAACGATGAAGGAGTCTCTTCTGAAAAATGTGATTGTTAGGTGACTTGTAAGGCAGTTTCCTAACAAACAGTGCACAATGCCAAAAATCTCTTGTCAGCAAGGAAAACACATTTAACGATAAATCATCTGCTTGAGCATTGCATTACTCTAGATTATAAAATGTATAAAGGTAAAAGTTTCACGGAAGCCAGTATAATATTTACAGTAGTTAAGTCAATCTGAGAGATAAGGAAGAGAGATATCTCTTTATAAACTTTATAAAATTCTTCCCATTAACAAATGTGAATCTTGCACTGCCTTGGTGATAGCACAACACACAGATTTCACTACTTCATCTTCTGTCCTGTTTAGAAACCTTGATTTTTTCGTCTAAACATGACTCGTCTTACCCTCTTCCTCTCTTTTCTGTCTATTTTATGAAAAAGTGTCTTTCTGTGATTACACAACCTATTATTTTTTTTTTACACTCTTTCTAGTTAAACTTTGTTCCTACCCACAAAACATTTGTTGAAATCTGTCCTTTTGTTTCCAAGCTTAGTCATACACTTCTTGCATAAATAGCCGATCTTTTTCACCTTAATTATTTAACAACTTACATCATTCCTGCCCAATGTTACTCCTGGTTCCTATTATTGTAAAAAAAGTATATTCAGATTTTTAATTTAATTTATAATTTTGGTATTGTTCAGGTTGTAACCAGTTGAGAAGAATCCACGAAATAATAAGAAAAAATGAGCTCAGAATATCCTGGTACATTTCTCGTCCTCGCTTTATTGAAAGTTAAGTCAAAGAATGATGCAAAGAAATGAAATAAACAATGATCAGAGGAATCATGAGTAAAATAAATTTAAAAATCGAAATGGTTTAAAATTTCAAAATGCCTCTGTAATGAACAATCCTCCTCATACTTTTCGGAATCTTCAACTAATGATCCACCATTTTTGGTGGAAGTGTCAGGCATAAAATGTAGTTTCTTTGTGAAAGGTAAATTACACTCAGACAAAATATTTACAAATCTTTGAAAATCAACCGATTTCTGAGGCCTGGAACGGTTCAGTATCTAAAAAATCAAAGGAAATAAAAAACATGATGGAGAAGAAATGTTAATGAGAACAAATAAGGCATATGTGACTATCACCAGTTCCATTCTAAACCAATGATCATTAATATCTTCAAAACACTGATTAATGAGCAAGGAATATTCTTTCCGATGGCTTCTTCTTCTTCAGGTTTTACAGCCACATGTCCATATTAATTAAGAAATAATTGTTGATCACAACTATTTTTTTTATTTCTTTGAGTTTCGAGTGGGACATAGAGCTTCAGGCCTGAAGCCTTGGAGTTTCAGTAGCCGAAATGTTGGTTTTTCCGACATGGGTTTGCTAGCCTCCTGTCCAACCTTCTGTCGTTGCCAAACTTACTACCAGCTAGTCAATTAGGCAAGGTCTAGGAGTGAGTTGACCGGGGATCGAACTCTAGACCATGCGCGTAGTTGGTGAGTATTCTACCAACACTGAACTATTCATCTAACAATATGACTGTTTTGAAATAACATCAAATTATTAAGATAAAATAAAATCCAAGAGGTGTATGTGATTTAAACCGTTACTAAAGTGCATATCTAAACATATTTATCTGATAAACTGATATTAAACGTCAATTATCAAAGTATGTGATGATTATAAATGACAATAATTACACATGAGTAGATGTTCATGATCAGTGTTTAAAATGAATTTTATTCGATTTGATTATCAACTTCACATTGAACAAAGGTTAAACACAGAGAATAAATGTTGGTATTAGATGGTTGGAGGCAATCGGCAGGAAACCTTGGACCTAGGTTTCGTGCTAGTTGGCACTCATCAGCAAGGCGCATCTGCAACCTTGAGGAACTCATGTCCCTTCTGAAATTCGAACCCGCATCAATTCACAGTGCACCGTAATGGCGAGCCACCTAGCATGGTGGCCACATTGCAAGCTTGACTGATAGAATTCAGTCTGCAGCGAAGATAGGACTAGAAGCATTACACTAGTTACTGACTAGTGTGCAATCAAAAATACAGAGAATAAATGATTTGAACTTCAATCTATTAACAATTTACTCACATATTACCTCTTGGATTATTGATCCCGAGGATTAAATATCATAAAAAACACATTGATGCCATTGACAATATATTTTTTTATTCCTTTACGTTCCGAGTGGAACATAAGGCTTCAATCTTCAGCTTTGAAGTTCCAGTAGAAGTGGTGTTTATTTCTACGGGATGGGGTTGCTAGCTAGTCTCATGCCCAACCTTCCCTCTTTACCAGCCTTATTACTGGTTTAGCGAGGTAAAGGAGTGGGTCGGCTGGGAATCAAACCGCGGACAATATGCGTAGTCGGTAAGCATTCTACGCTGTGCCACCAACGCCAATGACAACTGCTCTTCATTTACTATGGATAAATATAACTGTAGAATCTAAAGAAATTACCAAAACGAAAATTCTTTGTTCATTTTGTCTTTTCAAACATAAGACGACTATCTTATTGATTTGGTTGTGTTCTCTTAGTTAGCTGGTTTGATTGCAGAGCTTTTATTCTCCTTCTAGACAACATCTTCAGCGTAAGCTTTAATATGAATTGAACTTGTTTAAATTCTACATGAATGATATAATCGTATCGCATGACAACCATTGTGAATAAAAATAATCGATAAAAATGTAAATTAACAACCAATCACAACAATGGTTGTCAGGAGATAAGATTATATTTCATTCATGAAGAATTCAAACTAGTTCACTTTATACTAAAGCTTCCGCTGAAGATGTTGTCTAGAAGGAGGATGAAAGCTCTGAAATGAAATCAACCAACTCAGAGAACATGGCCAAATCGAAATGATCCCGCTGAGCTACACATCTTTTCTATCATAAAACCATGATTAAAAAAGAATGGTTTTTAAGAAAATTCTTAAATCTAAACTGCTCATAATTAATACACAAATAAGTAAGTTCCTATAAAAATTCAACAAAACCATATTTCTAGTAAAAGTGAGAAAAACAACAATGCTTTCTCGAATTCAAATTGATTAATATTTCCTAATCTTTTGGGAAACCTTTTGAAATGTTGTTTTTTTATGCATATTGTGAAAAAGGCAGCTGAAAACAAATGATAAGCACTGTAGTTCTCAGTACGTTCTAATGATTCGGTAGGAACTGTTATCTGAGCACACGCTGTCCAGTGATAACAATTATAGATGTCAACTAGACTTTGCTTTAGTCAAACTTCTGGCTTCTCGCATATCTGTTTTTAAAAATTTTAACACACCTTGACAGTCATTCGTTTATTTCAAGATCTGATAAAAGAACAAAAGTTGAGGAAAACACACTTCGCCGCGAGCCTACGACTGACGTTTCCCTGCAAGAAACTGTTCAGCCAAAACGCGAAAGACAAGCTGTCGCATTGGGTCACCTGAATGTGCATATACCAGTTTAACTGCTGTTGTGGAGCTGAGTACATCGGCCATACCATGCGCCGACTTCAAAAACGCGCTCGTGAACACTAACCAGCCTGGTTAGTAAAAGGAGACCAAAAAGGTGTATACAGTTAAGTGACAGAACGTCTGGTCAATTCAGGACATTCAGCGCCTTTCAAAAAATCCTTCAGAGTAATATACAAGATTTAATCAAACCTATCAAAGGGAGTGAAGTCAAGACATCTGGGAATAGCCGAGGCACCAGCTATCCAAAAGCTCCATCCCACGCTTTGTATCCAAAAGAAACAGGTCCAACCCCTGTCCCTGCCATGGCCATCATAAACAGGCAATTCTTTTAGTAATGACCACCCCATTGACTTACTTATCTGAACTTCTTGTTTATTCATGTTATCTTTAAGTTTTACTTAATCCTAGTTTACTCTACCATATTTTTATATCCGCACTTCCTGTTTATTCTGTCATGTTACTATTTCTACCTATTTAACCCCTGATTGCATAAACAATTATTCGTCACATTAGTTTTTTATCCAAACATCCTGTCTATTTTTGTTATTTCTACACTTCTAACCCCTAATTGGACAATGTCAATCGTCTTAATAATTATGATGCTACTTTGTTTGAGTTTTATCCATCTCCCTGTTCATTATGGCATTTTAATTCCTAATTGTAACTTTTATTAATTTGACCCTTAACCGGAAATTATTCTGGAACTTTCCCATCCATTTGTTATAAATACACTAATGTACAGCCTAGATGATGACTTCGTCGAAAAGAAAATTTTCTTCGCTGTAACTGTCTTCTTAAGAACAGAAGTGTTATTTAAAAATGCTTAATTAGTGTAAAACGTTGGGGCGAATGGACTGCTAATTTGTGTTGTGTTTTCTAGGGAAAAAAGACATAATTATGAACCCTAGTGACTTAAATGAAACTTAACGACGTCTGGAATTTTTGGTATCAAACATTTGACTAAATGGAATCTAGTTCTACCGTGTAGTACTTCATGTAGTCATGCATATCATCTGCACATCAAACAGAAGTGATAACAAAGGCAGAAAGCAATATGGACTAATCTAGTAGTGTTTTGAGATAAATTAGGATAAATCCAACACCAGTGTTAAGTCTGTCAGTTGTTCTATATGGGTCAGAAACTTGGTTACTGCAGACATTTAACAACAAACTCCTTCACGGGCTCCATACTGAAGATCAGACGGTCATAAGGAATTAGCAACAAGAAACTCTGAGGACGAATCAATCAGGAAGCTATTACTCAACAAATATGTAGAAGAAGTGGAGACGGGTCGGAAACACGCTGAGGTGAGATCGCACACCAGACCCTCGAGTGGAACTCGAATTGGAAACGACTAGTTGGGCGTCCAAGGGTGACATGGAAGAGACTGTGTGAGTTGGAGATGAGAGCTTATTGACAGTCGTGTGGGCAGATGAAGAGAACTGCAGAGAACATGACGAAATGGAGATGTCTTGTTGAAACCGTATGTCCCACAGTAAAAAACCCAAGGGAATGTGTATAAAGATAGATGATAATAAAATATGAAGACAGATGCATCTAGACTACTTCAACCGACTTCTGACTATATCATCTGGCTTCTAACCATAGATTCCAGTAGTCACCTTAGCTTAAACCGGAAAATTTATTCTTCCGAACACGTTTCAGATCAGCAATGAATGACTCTATGGATATATATCTTGATCTATTTACCCATCCCTTTTTCCAACCTAATGTTATTTCCGTTAAAGTCATAAAATCCGTAATTAGAGACTGATTAATTCCCCGTCCACCATAAACTTTTTCACTTGCCATTCAACATCCATAGATCACAGTGTTTATGTGATGGTCCCTTCGAAAGTGAGAAGTACCAAGGAAGTGATAATGGTTAGACATCTTAAGTTTCCAGAGGTCCTTTGAGTTTATTGATAGTGTTTTACGACAATATCTGAGGACTGAGAACGCATTGCTACACAGAACACTTGAGTCTAATGAGCGACTGCACATCTTGCCTATGCTACAAGAAGTGTGAGTGGACGAAAACAAAATCACTTCTTGTATTCTTGCAGAATTTTTGTCAGCTACCAACGCACTACTGCAAATGTGACTTCCCAAGTAAGTGAAATGAGCGATGCATTCAGTCATTCCCGTTTCCAAGAGAGGATGGGATATCGACATTGATCATTCCCATTATTTTTTAAGTCAGAAACCTATTCTGAACATTCTCAAATTTCTAATTTACGTGTTCAGAAGACCCAATATTTTGACAACATTTTCACCTAAAACCAACCTCATCAGTGTACTTTAAATTAGCTAAGGTAACTTTTGTGTGATGATCAATATGTAAGAAGTTAAACGTAGAAGACCTTCAAAAGTATATCTGTTGGAAGACTGAATAAAAATGAAGAGTTGACATCCCTCGCAGATACTACTATACTTAGTAACGCCAAAAGATAACTCGCCTTAGAATTTAATGAGACAATATGTGTTCAAGCATGTAAGTTTCAGTAAAAAAAGAAGTGCAAGTCAGACATTTCCTTCATACATGCTACAGGCATAACATCGATTTAGGATGGGTTGTCATCTAAATGCGGTTTTGAGATGAGGTCACTGACCTGTCAGATTACAGAAGCATTACCAAAAGAAAAGCCTCAGTACCAAGTTCCATATCTAAGACAAAAACAGAGAGATCTATTCGACTTGATAATTGCAAGACTTTATGCACGAGATTGATAAGCACATGGGACGGCTATAAGCATCCAATCATCAAGTAATTTTGTGGATGGTGATTAGCAGTGGAATTCGGGATGCTCATTTCGTCCTATTTGGGACTAGTTGTCAGATGGATGTACCTACATTCACCACTGAGTGATAGTGTTCCAACTGAGGCTCGAGCCCAGTACGCATAAATCCAGGCATCAAAGCGTTATCCGTTAGGCCACGAAAACCACCTACAGTGCAAAGGGTATCAGTTCTTATTTCAATCGCTTTGGATTTTCCCGTTGGTTGATTGGACCAAGGTGCTGGGTTTGTGTAGACATGTCAGCTTCTTGTGCAGTGCCTCTCGTGGATAACCCTTCGGTGTTTGAAACTATGGTTACTGGGCCCGAGTCTCATTGGGAACACTCACTCACTGGTGAATGCAGGTACATCTAGATGACGACTAGCCCCAAAAAGAACGAAATGAGCATCATGCATTACACTGCTAATCACCGTCCACCAAATTACTTAGGTTTAAACCCCCCAGATATCGTCGAAGCACCAGCGCAAGGAGCCGACATGTCAACAGAGGTCTAGGCACCTTAGGCCAATCAATCACCAATTTCTTAAAGAAACATCCATATACTTGACTGACCCACAGCACAAAATTGGTCGTAACAGCGGTGATGCAAGTTGATTTCGTCTAAATTTTTACTCACTTTCTTTCTTTCTCTACCTCTCAATGTGCAGACCAGTCAATCGACCTGCTTCGCTTTTACTGTAAAATTATCATTATACATACTATGTAAGACTACAACGAAAACAACCAATAAAACCACAAATAACTGATTACCTAACTACCTACCTGATAAGGAGTTGCGTGAATATGTAATGTAGGACAAGTAGATGATTTCAATAAAGACAGATAATCATTTGAAACGGGCCATTGATGATGTATGCCTGAATGTCCAGAATCTAACCAATAAATATGCTGCAGACTTTTACAAAGTTCATCAGTTTCCTCAGTGACAGTAGTGACAGTACTACATAATAATGAAAATTCATAGATCAATTCAGTAAGCACACAACATCCTTTACTGAAACCAATCAATCGTACTGGAATATTAGACAGTTGACAATTTCCGTCATAACATTCATCATCAGACAACTGTTTAACAGCATTTGATAGTAAACTGTTTAATTGTCTTATTGCTTTAAATCTGTATATTTCATCACTTTCAAAAAATGGTATACCGTGTTTTGTAAACGGTAAAAAATTAGGATAACATGCTATTGAATCAGCTATCCAATGTGAAGGTCGAATAATCCAGATATGAGGATTACTACAAGTAAATTGATTAGTGAATCGTTCATATAAAATTTGAGCAGTATTTTCCAAGCTCCATTTAATATATTGACTACTGACATTATTTTTGAGCATATTTTGTTCGTAATCCTAGATTGCGTTGCAAAATGAGAAAATGCATAAATACTGAAAGATTTGCTATAATAAATTGACCCAGAAATTGAATGTAACTTCATATAGTACTCATTGAGTGGAAATTAATTAAATAACCTGAATATCATATATTACAGTGTGAACAGGGTGAGGGAACGTACAAAAGAAACATGTGAGCCGTAATCTACGAATGTTTGGCATATGAGTAGCTCCCTCCAAATGCAAGATGATGTTACAAGACTGAACCACACTGACTCCTAGTTTAAAAATAGGAAGTGAAGTGGTAGAGCACGTTGACCGCTTCACTTATTTGGGAAGTACAATCAACCAGTGCCAACGGGTTGATCCCTGACGAAATGTCAGCACAGATACAGAGGGCTAGTTTCGCATATGCCAGTTTACGCCGTCTCTGGCGTAGACGTGATACTCGACTATCGACCAAAGGGCGTATGTACTGCTCATCAGTCCGCTCCGTCCTCCTTTATGGCTGTGAGACCTGGCCACTGAGAGTGGAAGACATGAAAAGACTAGCTGTCTTTGATCATAGGTGACTGGGCTATATCTCCAGTGTGGAGTGTTATAATAAGGTGAGCAATATTGAGATTAGGCATCGAGTGCTATGTAAGCAGGGGAAATCAATCAACGAGGCTGTGAAGCTACATCGACTGAAATGGTTAGGACATATGTTACGTACCTAGTCATCGCCTTCCTCGACAATGGGCAATGTTAGCTGACATAGGGTCAGACTGGAAAAGAGCTAGCGCCGGTCAAACCAAAACATGGCTCCACCAGTCAATGAAATCTATCCACAACAGTTAGTTTAAGCCAGTCACGTAGAAAAGTGTAGACTGGCTTCCTGGTCGGGGTCCTCGGGTCGGTAAAAACCAATGGTTGGAAACAATTGGTGACATGGCTCAAAATCGTTCTCAGTGGCGCAGATGCATCCACTCCCTGTGACTTATGATCTCCAATGAAACTGTTTTGTATTTCTTTATTACTCCTTTGTCTCACACCTCTGCTCACTGTTTCTATTATGCTTTTCTTGTACTTTCTTCTCTTGCTTCGCGTGCTACACGGAATGTGGCGACTTGAACTTCCGCACATTTGTGCAAAGTTCTATGTCGAAAACAGACAGACAAACTGGAGATACTCAGACAAGTCCTCGTGGGAAATGGATATTCTTCAAGATTCATCGGAAAAAAAATGAAGTTAAAGCAAAAACCCGTAAGAACCTAGACTGTGCCGAAGAATCTGATATTCGTGAACGTTTAATTTAAAGGTGGTACCGCAAGTAAGATTCTGAAGAACTGCTTATGCAGATCACTCAGAAAAGTCTTCTTTTCGGTTAAGTTACGGAACGATTTCTACAGCCGACAAATAACCAAAGGGATGTGTGAAGGATAAGCTGAAGCTTTGGGCCACTTCAATGTGTGTTTATAAATTCACCTGCTCGTGTGGAGCTAGTTATACTGGCCGCATAAAGCGCACAGTTTCCAGATGTATCTCTGAACATTATCAACAGGACAATGCACTTGTTGGACTCAAACCACGTAGCTCCATCAGAGTCGTCTTTCAAGATCATCTAAGAGATGAGGTAAAATGGTACAAAGGGCATCAGGTCACGACATTTGTGTATGGTGGAGGTGTTGGCAATCGTCAATAAAACGCTGATCTCTGTAAACAGAAAAAGTTTGTCCAGTCTGTTTTTCTAATATGGTCTTAACCTCTTCATGAGTCGATCCCTATAAAGTCTTCATTTTTGATGGTCAGTTTGCTCTTACTTTAATAATTAATTCACTATTATCACTCTCACATGTTCCTTTTGTACATTTTCTCACCCTCTTCACACTTGTTAATTGGATACTCAAATACATTTCTTACCCCTCCCCCTTCTTTTCAACTTTAAAAGCGTATAAATTGATGATGAAAACTTAAACTAAAAATTGTAGTGCTAACATTTTGGATGTGTCGATTTTATAGTATTTCTTCTCTACTACCACTTAAACATTAAAGTATGTTATTATCATCTATATAACCATTGTAATTTCAGGTAGTCTGCAGATGATGAGAACCTGTGAAATCGAATGATAACATCATTTTATACTGCAAATTTCGTATTCCTTTCTTTATCGAAATTTCTCAAGGGAACCAAATGTATGAACATTTCTCCTACTCACTCAATAATAGTTTTAATCTTATCAAATATATAACCCCGTGAGTGCGTACTACTGAAGAGTCCCAAAATAGGAATAAACAACTGTCCAGTACTCCCAGGTTTTCCAGTAGTTCTCTAACTGATGTCAGCTCATGATGAAATCCTCCATACAATTAAACAAAATCCCTACAAAACCAATACTTGAAAATATATAAGGCTGTCTTCCTTTGTACCATTGAGTATTGCGTAATTTATAACTGTTATTTTTGCTTTCTAAGCTAATTCTAAGTAATTATACCAATTATATCAACCCTAATACTCAATAATTGACTACGATACGTTTCTAGTAAATAAAAATATGACTGTACAGCCTCTGAAGAGGACTTCATCGATAAAGAAAATTTTGTTTGCTGAATTGTCTCTTATTTTCCTCATGACTCAATGGATACTTTCGGTGATTCCAAGCGTTCACCTTAACGGATTACAAGGAGGAACTAAGACTAAGGCTTCATGTAAATAGCTGCATTGATGGGTTTGAATAATACAATGAAGAAAAGTTTTTACAGGATGATAACACAAATGCATTTTCATTGCATGAAAAGAAATTGGGCACTCTGCCTGAGCACATTTATACAATGGAATAACTGTATTTAGAATAACACATAATGACGCATTATTTATTGGGTAAATGATGCTGTTCTGAGCACAATTTATTGTTCATAATCATATCAGGTTAGGTACTCATACAATATAAATTATATTTATAAAATCTCAACAAAACTGAAATGATTAATTCCAACGTTTCGTCCGGCAATTTGGTCCGAACTTCTTCAGGGAAATTAAGCGAAATTAACATAACACAGAGGTTTATACACAAAAAGGAACATCTCTTGTTTTTAAAACTTTGTCCAACCATGAGTCGTAAAACAAGTATCACAAAGTATAATAAACAAAATTTTATGAGCTGTGATCAAAATTCGACCTCGGACTAACGAATATTAGTCTACTTTTGTTAAACACTTTAAACAGAGTGTATCTTTCATCAGAATTTCAGTGATTACTTTCGACTAAAAGTTCACGGTCCTAGATAACTGAATATGAAAATATTTGCGTATATGCGGTATGGAATGGTGTGTGGGTGAACAGTTGTAAAACATTTGTTAACCTCTCCATAAGAATTCTTGAGCTCTTTTGCCTATTGATAATTTTGAACGACTTTTCGACATCCACCTCATTATCCAAGTCAAGGAGATGCCTGGCGATGGCACTGTTTAAAGCATTTGTTCCCTTTAGACATAAGCTTTTTGGTACATGTTCAGAAAATCGTAGATATCCCCTTCTTTCTGTCCTTCCAATGTAACTGCTCCCGCAGATACAGAATACGAACATTGTTCCAATCAATATCGTGCTTTTTGTGTTATGCATGTGCAGCTTTGGACGAATTTTTCTTGTAAGCTCGTGTTCCTTTGGGATGACATTTAGTAAGGCCTGTATGTTCATTCACTCTTATTTTGAGTGATCTAGACGTTTGACCCACATATTTAGCTGGATATTCAGCACAATATATTTTGTGCATTACATTATTTTTACAAGTCAATCTGAACGAAGAATATTCTTTTCAATAATCTCTCTTCAGGTTCTTACAGTTGTAAAATATAGTATTTTGTTGTTGTAAGAGCCCAACAAATATGCAAGAGAAAGTGGAGATGCATTGGACACTCGTTGAGGAGGCCGCTGGGTGACATCACTCGCGCGTCAGGCCATTGCTTGAGTGGAACCCGAAAGGGAAGCGGCAAGTGGGACGTCAGTGCAAGGGTGACATGGAGGAGATCGTGTGAAGAGAGAGGAGTTGAAAAAGTATGGACTAACATGGATGCAGGTGAAAAGTACAGCAGAAGGAAGACAGAAGCAAGTGGAGACGTGCAGTTGAAGCCCTATGTTCCACTAGGAACCCAAGGGAATAATAATAATAAAAATAATTGTAAGAACTTAAAGAGAGATTACTGAAAAGAATATTCTTCGTTCAGATTGACTTTTAATCCGGGATATGGGAATATTTCACACTATTAAATACATATAATTTTTTCCCTCACTTTTGTTGGATCTATCAGCTGATTTTTAACTAGATTCGTTGGCTTAGAAGTGGTGCGAATCCCAATATTTTTGAGGTTTCGTCGAATTGCCTCTGATGTACCATTTTCGTATGCTATTGTGTCGTTTTACCATCCTCCTTCTTTTCATTCTCTGGTTTAGCCTAACATTTTTCTATTCTTTATATTATCTCCGATAAATTATTTTGGGTAGTTGTTGTCGACTAACATTTTGAATAAGACGTTCATTCTTTCCTTTGGTCATTTGGTGTTGTTGTAAGCCTACGTATTCTGTTTGCATGACGTTGTATCAATACTCGATTGTCCGTGAATGGATGAGTTGAGTGATAATCAAGGAATCTTCCAGAATATGTAGTTTTTCTATATAGCATCGTTTTTATGCTACCATCACCTTGCACACTTTATGCTGTAAAAATCTATTTCTCACTTTTTGCTATTATTCGAAAACTCAGAATTCAGTATACATGCACAATTGTGCCGTGCTAAACGATTATTCAGTTTTGCAAACAGTATACTCGACTTAATCCTTAATAAGATAGATGCCCTCAAATCAGTTACAAATCAGTGTTATTTTTTGTTCACGGATGATAGAAAATTTGCATATTTACATTTTATTTCAGGATTTCATCATGAGCTGAAATGGTTTAGAGAACCGATGAAAAATCTGGGAGTACTGGACAGCTGTTTCATCCTAGTTTGGGACTCTTCGTCAGTACGCGCCGATGGTTTTCCAACTTATGTCAGCTTATGATAAAATCATGGAGTCAATTAAATCCCTGGAAAGCAACACTTAAATTTCATTATTTCAATTATTGGTAAGAAATCTTACCTGTACATCTCCACCGAAATAAACCAAATTTACAGTTGGACATATTTTGTTTCCAAGAAAGATCACATCGTTACACTTATTGAGAAAGCCAGCACAGTCTTTAATTTCACGCCTTATCCAACAACACATCTCGAGACTAGTGTTTGGTTAAATTATAATCTGAAAAGGAATATAAAATCTTATAAATGATATTAGAAAGAAACAGACAGTAAACAAATTTCAAAAATAACAGCGCTCGAATATCCTTTTTTTCTTTCATTCATTACTAATAGACGAAGACAAAAATACAACTAGGATGGTTGCTACTAACGAGAATTTATAAGGAAAAATATTTTATGTGGTGTCTTGTACAAGAAAGAACCCTGAACAGTGGAGTAAGAAATTACATTGCAAAGAGGAGAAATAAAAGACTCCTCTATGAAGGCATATAGAAAGCATGATGAAAGAGAAACAAAATGAGCAGAATATGCGAATAACTTGTGCATATTGGAAATTCCAACGTAAGATTTCTGTATTTTGCTAAAAAAATAATTCTACTACACAGTATTATCGCGTTCTGAGGTTACACAATGGCTGAAGTTTGGCTTAATTATATTATCTGGAAATCTTCCAAAAATAGATTGACAGAAAGCTGATTGTGGTGAAATTGTGAAACATCGAGATAGATATCGCATTTAATAGCGTTATTCACCTAACATGAGACAATGTAGTATAAGATTTTAAAGCATCAAGACACTCAAAGCATAATTTCAGATAATTCATCGAAAGTAACACTTATTTAACTAAATATAATTATCGAATATTAGTCACATATGAAACAGCTATAACACCTGGTACGACTTTAAAGTATTATCATGTTATCTATCGATTAGACAGAATTTGTTCTACAGTTAATAGGTACTTATCTAGCCAAATTTTTTACGGTATGCTTTCTTCGATATCGTGTAATGTGTTTTCACAAACTAGGTAGAAATAACAACGACCTTGTTTAGAGAAATACACATTCTTTAAACTATTTGGCTCAAATACTTGATTGTAAACCGACAGTATGCAACTTAATAGGCTTTTTGCGGGGTTTCTTCCGATCTTATGCAGTTTTACATGAGTTGACATTATTAATAAGCCATACATGAGGTAACCATAAGACTTCAAGCTTTCTGATTTGAAGTTTCAGTAGCACTGTCGTTTTTACAGGGTAGGCTGCAAGCATCACACTCCACTTCACTTTTTTCTGGACCCACTACCAGTTAATCCAGGTTTAGGAGTGTGTCGTCCGAAGATTTAACCCTAATCAAGTGAGTTGTCAGCGAGAATTCTACCGGTGAACCGCTAATGTACACTACATACATATGTAGAGGCAGAAAATAAAACGGATTATTAGTAGTTATCAGCGTCTCTTAATGCTGTCTCCTAGAATAACGGTTCAATGCAGCTTATTGTTTTGATATTGTGGTTCAGTATTTTCGTTGGAGTTACTGTCTGTCTCTCTGTTTTCGACATAGAACTTTGCACCGATGTGCAGCAGTTCAAGTCGCCACAATCCCTCCTTGTAGCACACAAAGCAACAGAAGGAAGTAGAAGAAATGCATAATAGAGACAATAAACAGAGGTGTGAGGCAATGGAATAGTTACAACGAAGAAAAAAACAGTTTGATTGGAAATCATAAGTCACAAGGGGTGAATGCATCTCCCGAAGCCATTGAGAACGATTTTGAGCCATGTCACCAATTGTTTCCAACCAATGGTTTTTACCGACCCGAGGACCCCAACCAGGAAGCCACTCTACACTTTCTACGTGACTGGCTTAAACTAACTGTGTTGGATTTCATTGACTGGTGGGGCCATGTTTTGGTTTGACCGGCGCTAGCTCTTTTCCAGTCTGACCCTATGTCAGCTAACATTGCCCGTCGAAGAAGGGGAGTTACTGAGTTAAGCTAATTTATTTGAAATAGCTGCAGAACGCCAGGAAGATTTTCTGGAAAGTAGGAAGATGAGTCGTAATTAGTATGGTGGTAGTATTAATATAGAGCATTATGATGGTGTTTTGAGAAAGCTATATGAAGAAGTGAACGCAGTAAAGTGTGCTTTCCTCCACCGTAAGAATCTCAGACACTTCTTCCCACTTAGCAGGATAGTAGTCATAAATAGTTGGCTAGAAAAACGCTGCACTTTAGTTTACCAGAAAGATTTTATAATAAAAATGATAAAGTTTTACTAACTGATGAAAACCTTCAGATCTGTTACTAACTGACCTAAAAAATACAGACTTCTGGTATAATATTATTGTCAAGAAACAAATGCAACTAAACGCTTGCTTAACTTAAAGCAATATAAAAAGGCCATAGTAATCTAAAAGATAATACACACAAAGAGGTAAGATTTTATGATCAAGACAGATATACAGCATAAATTCATCCGCGTCACTGCTATCATCTTTGAGACATGTTACCTATAGTCTTAAATCAAAGGTCCGACGACACAACCGGGAACTCTTTCCTTCCTTTCATGGCTGGAACTAATAATCAATAATCCTATAATAAATTGGCGTCTCAGCTTCACTATCCTGAAGCCTCTGGATTGTTAGCCAACAATATATTGCCTAGGACTAGGGCCTCAAAAAACTGGATAACGAGTATCATTTTTCAAAAGATTTCAAAAATTCTCACGTTCTCGCCACATAAAGAGAACCTTAACAGACAAAAGATGATCGGTTTTATCATACCGATGGTTTTAACCGTCACTACGTAAGCAGAAGATAAAAGGAGTAAAATCTAAGGAGGGGAATTTCCCACGAACGCCTCACTCGGCTAAATGTACCTATTCGAACTTCTGACTTCTTTGTACCATTCAGTTGCAGAGAAGTTTCCTAATGCAATACGCATGACTACAGATACCGTCCATGTTTGCGGTTTTTAATGATAGTAATATGAAGTTCTCTTGATTCAATAAAATGTTGAGATATAATTGTTAGGAGCCGCCCAGAAGCCAGGTATACATTTGTGCAGCTGCCAAAACAACTCACTACTTTGTGAAGGTCAACGATAGCTAACCACATACATTCCCATATGAAATAAGTTGTGTAAACGAGAACTACTAGATGAAATTCTGTTGTCTGAGTCAATCAGTTACGGCCTCATGGTTAAAGATATGACCGAAATTGTTCACGATAAGATAGGAGAAATCCACTTTTCTCTTCTTCGGAATTTCGAACATTCATTAACATATGTGTTCTTATTCCCTCTCTTTTCATTACGGCCTTTATTTCATTTCGTTTCTTATATTTTACGTCATAAATTAAAATGAAGAAAGACTAAAATAATGACTTCTGACACATAAGTTTTTCTGCAAATAATTGTTGAACAGGTTGTCACAAGAAGTGTGAAAGCCCAACTTGAATACTTTTAACGACTTATATAGGTCGGTCGACACAACAATAAGAAGCTGCTTGATGAAGACTCGAGTGAACTTTAAACTTTACTTAGGCATCTGGCTAAGTTTCCAACATAGAACTTCGCACAAACGTGGAACAATTTAAATTACCACACTTCATGTAGCCCGCAGAAAGGTAAAGAAACTGTAATAAATGGAAGTGTGTAGGGGAATGAGTACATAGAGGGAAGTTCATAAAGACCAAAAACACATGTGCATGAGAGAGAAAGGTTTCGAGATATGTCACCAACAGCCTCCCACAATTGGTTTCAAGCCTTTTGTGGGCCTCAACCGAGCGGTCTGCACCTTCCTACATGGGTCAAACTAATTACCAGAAATTTCATGAACATAGTCACCGTTATTAGAGAATCATAAGCACAGCTTGACTAACTGTATTGAAATGTAAGACTCATATAATATTATTTAAAAAAAGTGATGAAATATAACGACGTTGGCCAATACACCAACAAGTTTCTATGGTGAGTAAGCATGTGGTCATCATGTGATGCTATCATTAACAAAATTATCGCACTAATAGCTTTCAATATCCAAGTGCCATATGGTCCTTCAACGAATGAGGCTCATTCATAGACCCTAGGCTAACATCTTTGCACAGGATATTCACAACCACTTAAATTCCAGTCGTTTTTATGAAGCCTAGTAGTGGAGGTGTCCTAAAAATCAATTTTAATGAAAAAAACTATGCGCTTATAGGAATATTGAGAATTAGATTTCGTTTCAAATCCATTCCTGTGCATTCCACCAAGTGGAATATAAGGCTTCCTGTCTTAGTAGCGATTGTGTTGTTATTTTTACGGTGCAGGGTTGCTTCTTTCATACCCAAACCTCCCTCTTTTCGAGGCTTACAAACAGTTAGATGAGGCTTAGGAATGCATCTACCAGGATTCGAAACCATACGTCTAGCATGGTTGGATAGCAGTCTACCAGTGAACCATTAACGCTTATCATTGAATTACGCGACCCACAATTCTCCACATCGCATAAAGGAAATACTAAGATATTTGTTCACTTGAAATTCTGTAACGCGAGATTTACCTAAGTCGCCAGTAAATGTTGATAAGTAGACACTATCAGTGGATGAGCCGTAGATACTGTCTGTCTGTGACCAGAAGATTCTATCCAAAAGATGGAAAAATAATTAGTGGCCAACTGGACTTCAGAATAATCATTATTAAGAGACAGAGATCATCCATCCAATAAGTAGGTCAAGTCAAACAAGCACAAGAAAAATTAACAGTTAGTGGATCAGCTAGCGAGAGCGGAAATGCCGGGTCCACACCGAGTCATGAGGCCTAGTTCCCCGACGTTGAGGCACTTCCTGCAGTGCACCTGCCGTCCACCCCAACCCCTACGGTGCCTTGGCTAGCAATTTCCTCGAGTCCACTGCAGGCATCTCAAGGCAGAAAACTAAGGGCGCATTGCAGAAAGCAGGACAGATGTCTGCCCTAGTGTCTGACATAGATTCTGACAACTCGCTTACGGTTATGCCGCAGACCCTAAGTCTTTAGCCACACTTATGATATACTTAATATGTCCACAACTTGTCACAACAAACAACATACTTCTGTCAACTCAAAGACCAATGATAATGAAAAAACAGTTGAATTTTAAAAAACATCTACTTACTGCTAATAAAAAATGTATTTACAATGTGAGGACATTACATACTAGTCAAAAAT